ATATCCATCATCAGATGTTGGCGATCATGTTGGCAATCCTATTTTTATCAACAGCCACAAGTTGAGTTTTGTCCAAACCAGTCCCTTAGATTTTGAAGCCACCTCGTTTGCCTTCAATCTTTCCTTGGAGGAGTGAAGTATGCCGTATTTTTCTGGGTGTCGCATCACATGTCCAAAATATTCTAACTTTTGTTTTTTTATGGTTTTGATGATTTCCCTTGACTTTCCCAGGTGGCTTATCACCTCCTCATTTCTGATTTTGTTAGTTTATTATGGGTTATGGGTAAGGCGTTTTAAATTGGGGAGCCATTTTGGATTTAATTTTGTTTTAAATGTATTTTAATGTTTATATTGTATGTTTTTTTAATCTTGGCTGTTCACCACCCCGAGTCCTTTGGGAGAGGGGGCGGTATAAAAATTTAATAAATAAATAAATAAATAAAATACTCTGTAGAGCAGGACAGGAAAAATGTAGCATCTGACAAGCCTGATTTTCAGTCTTAGGCTTATGTCGTGACTGCAGAAGACCTTTTTCATTTTGAAGAATCCTGTTCAAGCTTTCTTTATCCTTGTTTTTACTTCAGTGGTTATGCTCCATTTGAAGCCAGAGCCCTTGTTTTCAACATATAGAGAGGGAGAGCTGCAAGAAATTACATATCACTGAATTCATAAATTGTGTTTCTTAGATCCTTTAATATAGTTAATTTTCAATCCCTTCTAGTCATTATGCATAAAAGAATTCTTTTGGACGAGGGACTGTAAAGGGAAGCTATTATTAATTTTTAAAGTCTTCTCTGAAATACCATTTTTGTTCCCCAGAGCTTTGAAGATGACATGATCACTTTTGCTTCATTCCACCTGCTAATGCTGAGAAAAGGAAGTAAAATTTCTGCAGTGACCTCTCCTGAAAACTGCCTCTTGTCTATCAGCAACCAAAACCTTTTACTCTTTTTCCATGCTAGAAGGAACTGAAATAAATGTGCATCCCTCCTCCCTTTTTCATGTTTCATTTCTTTAGCTACCAGAGTGTTTCTTAAGAGAAGAAGCAAGGAGCTGAAAAACTGCCAAGCTACCTTTCGTGTTTTAGTTTGGGTATAGCCAAACTGGATAAGGCAAGAGGTTCCACAAATGGGGGGAAAAAATCCATCCACATTGCTGCAGTGTTGCAGTGTTGTAAAAAATACACCAATGTTGCAGCAATTGCAAATCCCCTGGAGCCGAGACAGAAATAAAATTGTTTAGCTGCTGAAAAGAGAGAAAATCATGGTGTTGTAGAGCAGAGTTGACAAGAATGGTGTATGTTGTAACAATTAGATTTTTCTTCTATCCCATCTACTCTTTTACCTCATGATAGAGGTCACTACTTTTTTTAATGATTCCAGGAACAGGTAGTTGTCATAATTCCTCTAAGTATTTAGATACAAGTGGGGGAAAATACCTCTTTCATATTGAATTATATTCGCTGAAGCTGATTGAGTTGTATCTCATTGTCTAAAACATGGCTTCCATAAGTCCCTGAATGACAGAATATTAAAACTGAAGGATGGAAAAATAGTTTGTGACACGGTTCAGCATAGTTCAGCACCATTTGGCAGTAATTTAGATCAGAGGTAACAGAAGCAGGATGGGAATCAGCAAGAGGAGTCACCAGTTTCTTTCTTTTTTTCTATCTATCTATCTGTCTGTCTGTCTGTCTGTCTGTCTGTCTGTCTGTCTGTCTGTCTGTCTGCCTGCCTGCCTGCCTGCCTGCCTGCCTGCCTATCTATCTATCTATCTATCTATCTATCTATCTATCTATCTATCTATCTATCTATCTATCTATCTATCTATCTATCTCCCTCTTGTCTATACAGTGAAAGTGTAGATCATACTTCTTCTATAATTTCTCCTCTCCAACAATAGCCCTTTGCGATTGGGTGGGCTGGGCTGAATGAGAACGATTGGCTCCCAATTACCCAGCCAGTTTCTTTGGCTGATGGTCCTAATCCACTCTAAAACACAAGCTGTTGTGAAGCCTCAGAGCCATTAAACATAGGATTTATGTTCTTTAATCTAGCACAGCTTTTTTTAAAGCTTTGAAGTGTAGACAAGGTTGGAGATTTATTACCTGGATTTGCTGATCTTCTTTTATAAGATTGTGAGTCTTTTCCAACCCTATATCTAATATTTCATTTAATAATAGCCTTGAGACTTCCTAAGAAGCACATTTCCAGGAAAATGTTACCCTTCATAGGAGTTGAATACCATTCCGTCTTTACCATCTTCACCTTTGACTTTATCTTCCCCTGTTGAACATACCAGAAGGTTACATGTAAGCACACTCTTTGGCATGGTCTCCACTGCACATATATCTTTTAGCAAGGAGGGATATCCATCTGATAAAGAAGCACCAAAATACAGGAAGCATTGTTGGCTTGAAATTTAATTCTTCAGGAGGCCGCAGTGTTTCAAACTATAGTTCAAGAAAGGGAGTTTTTAAAAAATTAGAAAGCGATACTGTTGAGGAAAATACTTATTCATTAATTTATTTCATTGACAGTTTCTATACTTCCCTCTCAAAATGACTTTGGGCAGTGCAGAAATATTAACATAAGGTAACATCAAATATACAATTTCTCTGAATACTGTATAGTTTTACTGCTTTATGTAAATCTGGATCAGCAGATTCTTGTTCTTAAGGGTTGTTGGTTTACCCCAAATTGAATTCATCTGAGATGCCCGGCTTAGGGCCCGGTTATTTACGAGACCACCTTCCCACTGGCCAATACGCTCCCACAGAGAGGGTCTCCTCAGGGTGCAGTCGGTCAGGCAATGTCGGCTGGCGGCCCCCAAGGAAAGAGCCTTCTCTGTAGGGGCACCCGCCCTCTGGAATGAGCTACCCCCAGGGATACGACTGATCCCGGACCTCTGTACCTTTCGCCGGGCTCTGAAGACTTTTTTATTTCAGCAAGCCGGGCTGGCTTAAAATTTTTAATTGGTTGATTTTATGGGTAAGGGGTTTTAAATTGGGGGAAGCCAATATAGATTTAATTATGTTTTAAAGTATTTTAATGTTTATATTGTATGTTTTTTTAATCCTGGCTGTTCACCGCCCTGAGTCCTTCGGGAGAGGGGCGGTATAAAAAATTAATAAATGAATGAAATGAAATGCCAAATTAGTGCACATTGGGAAAATGTTTTCACTTGAATGAAAGTAAGATAATAAATATCCAAAGTGTCACCCAGGCAGATGTGGTAAAAAAAATATATCTTTGAATTTATGTCTTGATTCTTGCTCATATGCCAGAATGAAGTTGAAATTATTTGTCAGTGAGAAAGGGATCTTTGCTATCTTCTTACGTGTCCAGCGGGTCCTTTAAAACTACAACAACACAAATCTTACTTAAGAATAAATATTCATATATTTCTTGAAGATTAGCTAAAGATCATGGGGTATATTTGTTCTAGTTTGTGGATTAAATGCCCAATTTATGCCAAGGGGGAGCAGGAAGAATACTTGGCGTAAACCGGGCATTTAATCCACAAACTAGAACAAATATAGTAAAATGATTTCAGAGTAGGTTTATGCTTCTGTCTTCGTGCTCATAAACAGGATTCACACTTTATTCTGACAAATTCATGCTTGTTATGGACTCCGCCTTAGGTCTTAGTTAAGAATCAGCACACAACAATGCCGTCATTGCCCCTTGTTCACTCTCCCCTTTTCTTTAAAAAAAAAAAAGGTTATATTGGTTATTTTTCAGTCCTTGGGAGCAAATGATGATTTTAGGAAAAGTTACATATTTTGGAGAAAGGATTAACAATTTTGTATTCAAGTTCTTAAGAGTATCTTTAAGGATACTCTTTTGACCTAAGAATTACATTAGTTTTAGCATGTCGGTTTGCTTTATAACTTAATTTCTTATCAATTCTGTTTGTTTCTGTTCATCTGATCTTCCTCCTAAAAAAGCCAGCTTTGACATAGGCATCTGTCATATGTTCTTACTTATCAGTAAAAAACAAAAGCAAAGCATCTATTCTGTTTGCCTGCTCTTTCCCTATCCTCCATTAGAATACCTGTAATGCTTCTTGGCTGGTTTCCTATTCCAAATATAGATTTTTGTTTTTCTTTGTCCTAATGTGCTGTGCCTATAGCTATCCTGGGGTGGGGTGGGGAGAGGCAGGCAAGGGAGGGAGTGACAAACTATGTTTTAAGACTTAATGACATAAATCCTCTGGCTTATGTACTTGGGTCCAATACTGGGACCCAACCCAAGTACCAAGGAGTAGGGTTTGCATTGTGACTTCACCATGCCTATTGCCATTTGTTTGTCCCTGAGGCTAGCTCTGGAACGGATGCCTTTGCTCTGGGCAAAGTCTTTGTTCATCTTTTATTGACTCCTTGCAGTTTGTACTGTGCATGTGCAAATAAGGTATCTTTCTGATCTATGCAATAAGGAATTGCATAAAAACCACAATTTTATGAATGGCCAGAATGGAATTTAACTAAGAAGATCTACTGCCTATAGCAAATAGAGTTGTAAAATAAATATGCTATGGTTCTCTTTAAGACAAAATTATGCTATCTATTAATGTGATTCCATCTCAACAATGTAGATGGTGTATATGTGTGGCGTGCGTGTGCGCGCGCACACACAATACACATGCAAATATACATACGTACATATTATGTGTATATGTATATGTGCATGTGTATGTTTATATATATTCCTAAGATGCTCTAGTCTTAGGATGCTTAGAAATTTAAAGCTAGAGTATTTTGCTTTAACTTGATATTGTCTTTTTATTTTCCCAGAACTGAGAGGAAAAGAAGAATAGTGCAGCAAAAATGCTTTGTACTGAATACCTGGGTAAACCCTTGGAAACTCTCCAGTGTTAAGAGGATGGAGAAGGTAGAAAGACCAAAAGAAGCATAGAAATGAACTGGGCAGTGGTGGGTTGCCCCCGGTTCACACCGGTTCTATAGAACTGGTAGTAAAACCGGCGGGAGGCTCCGCCCACTGACCCCGACATCACCAAAACGCTTTTGCGCATGCGCAGCCCCGCTGCGAACTGGTAGTAAAGGTAAGTAGAACCCATCCCTGGAACTGGGGCATATAGTTGCAAATGAAACAAAAGAGTTTGTTTTAGGATTAATGTCTGTCTGCCAGAGAGTTAAACACATTCCTGATGTGAAATCAGGATAAAGTTAAATAGTTAACTATCTTTGAGGCTTGATGTTGTAAACTATGTTCCATATAAAGGATGATCGGGTTGTTATATTTTATCTCCTCAGCTTGCAATCTTTCCCTTTTTTTAAAAGTCATTTCATGGTTTATGGCATGATATAAATTGATAGCATTATCTGACAGTCTTGAAAATGACCTAAGTGCTTTTTTTGTTTTCTTTCAAACCTCATGTTGTCATGAATTATTGAGACTAACATGATGTCCTTGATGTAAACATGGACTTTTGAACTGGACTGTGTACAGAAATTCATTATGTTTGTACTGCTAAGCAGGGATGGTGGTGAGAAAAATAAAAGGCTGGCTGGGGCCCAAAGAGTTGGAAAAGCAACATGTGTCAGATGTACCTGTTGATAAACACTGCTTTGAATACCAGCTTGGAATGCCTGGGTGCTCTTTGGAATAAGGCAAGAGCCAGCACATTCAGATATGCTTGGTGTAGCTCCCATTCCTACTTGCCAAATATGCTTCAGCGAAATCTTTTTCAAAGGCATGACTAATAGTCATTTAATGGGCCACATGAGTCATAGTTCAAAATATTCAGAGCAGGGTAACTATATACCTTCTTTGGCTTTAGTAGGTGACTCTCCACCAACAGCCTATGCATGTATGTTGTATTACCCAGGCATTGGAAGAGGATTTAAAACTTTTCTGCATACTGTCTACTGAGGGTGATAATATGCACAATCAGATCAGATTGGTCTTACAGAAACCTCTTCTGCGCATGGACCACCCTGTTATCTGGATCAAGGCCCCATATAAGCATTGATACACTAGTGGTTCTAAGCAGGGGTGGGTTCTACTTATCTTTACTACCGGTTTGCAACGGGGCTGCGCACATTTTGATGATGTTGGGGTCGATGGGCGGAGCCTTCCACCGGTTTTACTACTGGTCCCATAGAACCGGCGCGAACTGGGGGGCAACCCACCACTGGTTCTAAGCCATCTTTGTGATATTATGCTCAACTGAGGCATGCTTTTTTTCCCCCCCTACAGATCAGTTACTGTATTGTATTTAATTAAACAGCTGAATACAGCTGAATTTCTTCTACTTCCTGCTTTATGTGATGATCATCAACATTATTAAGGGCATCTACTAGTCCTGAAACACAAAGCTATCAGTAGATGTTCTTAGACACAGTGTCTTGGAATATAGTTTAATGAGGGAAAGGATATTTTGGGGAAAAGGAAACCACAAAAGATCCATTAGAACAAACAATGTTTTCTTTACAGGGTCCCAGAATCAGCTTTTAGTTTCTACAGGTAGAAAGGCCTTTTCTGAAATTCTTCGAAGATCTGCTGACAATGTAACAATGTGCTCGATGGACAATATGCTTTGACAGTTTAGAAGATGCTTTTCCAACTGTCTGTAATTTATATTGCTGAGCAATCATTCACTGAAAGCTAGAGGTGCTTATACTTTAACCCCCATGAGTAATTTTAAATGTAACAGAAGGGAGAAATAATTAAATATTTTTAATTATTTAGCAACACAAATTACATTTAATGAAAAGCGGCTGTTTCTTGGGCTGCATATTTGTTTGCTCTAGCTCCGTGTTTTGAGGTACAGTGCCTACCCAAAATTTTGTTAAAATTAAAAAATAGTTAAATTGTTAAATTTAAAAATAAAATTGTTAAAATAGATTATGTAGAAGACCAGAGAACAAGCAACCCTACACTGTCCTGTTTGTGTCCTCACAGCTGTTTGGAATGAGAAGGCCAACAATTTTAGAAATGTGTCTAAGTGTGCTTGCGTGCACATGTGCATGTTACATTATTGGACTAGGCACAATGATAAACACTGGGCAACCTAATCCACACATCCCACCATCCTGCTTTATGCATTTTAAAAGGCATATAGGTGCCTAAAACCTCTGGGAATATAAGAGGAGGGATCAAAATATTACTCAGCTTTGTATTTTTATTCTTCAACTTTAGTTATGTCCTTTCTTACTTCATGGTGATATACTCAGGCTCTCCCTGCCAGCCTGGTTATAATGGTGACCAATTTTTGCCAGTGGTTTGTCAGAAATTTGATTGAATGATTATAAGCCATCAGGTTGGTTTCAACTCTTTGCAACCACCTAGATAACATAACAATCTGTCCCTAACCTAGTCTTGCAAGTCTTCTAATAATACACTCATTACCAGCATAACTGAGCCCATTGACCTTATTGCTGATCATCCCCATCTTCTCTTCCCTTCCCTTCCCCCATTCCCAGCATTGTAGCCTTTTCCAGAGAGCTACCTTTTCACATAATATATTTAAAAGTAGGTTATTTGAGCCCAAAAATGTGTGAGGAAGGTTATACAAAACTGAACAGTCTGAATTTTTCATTTCCATTGAGAATGGGATTTGAGATCCAAAATATTTTTGATACTGAGCTTGAGGCCCTGGATGTGTGATCGAATCCATATATATATTAGTGATAATTGTTATTGGTTCATTATTTTTTCTTTTAATATCCGCATATGTTATTTATTACTTACTATCATTTGTTTTTATCTTATTTTAATAATTGTTAGCTACCCAGAATAATATATTTGAAGTAGACAGTTACATAAATTGAATGAATAATGAATATTTTTTTAAAAAAATATTGAATACTATAACTCTTTTATCACTCAATAGTATTTTGTGTTTGTACAGTAGCCTCGATAAGTTGAGAAAATGTCTAGGCCAACAACATCAAGCACAGTGTCAAGAGTAAGGTTATAAGTGAATACATCATGAGAGTGAAGAACATCTTAAATTCCAAGCGCAGTGATGGAAATACCACTAAGGCAATTAACGCCTAGGCAGTTCTAGTCATTAAATACAAAGTTGGAAGAGTGGACTGGTTTCAAGTAGAACAGAAGTCCTGAATAGGAAGATCAGAAAAATAATAATAATGAATTATGCCTTTCATCCACATAGTGATGTTGACAGACTCTACTTGCCAAGGAACACAGGTAGGCATGGAATGTACATCAGATATTTGAAGAAGACAAAAAGGCATTGGAATAATATCTGAAGGGCAGTGAAGAAGTATACCAGGAAGATTTACTGAGTACTGGACAGACTAAACTAGCCTACAGTACAGTCCAAATGAAGAAAAGAAAAAAGATATGGCAAGGAAAAGCATTACATGGTTAGTACATAAAAAAAAAAAAGCAGGTAAAGCAACAAAACAAAACCAGGCATTAGCTTAAAGCAGGAAAATTGAAGAAGTAATAGAAGAACTCATTCTGGCTGTACAACATCAAGCCTTAACAAATGCACACAAAAGAAAATTTAAGTATATTTAATGTATTTCAAAACAGAGACTTTCTTCCTTACAATTTAGTAATTGCGTCAGGGCCCGAATAATCTTACTTCTTATATTTTCCCCAACATCTTCAGGAATAGCTCAAAACCTTAAATAAAATGTTTCTCATGCTGTTCCATTAGGGTAATGCTATCCAGTTTATTTTCCTATTGTCTTTATTTTATATTAAGATATTTTTTTAAAAAAATTCTATATCTATATATACTGTGTTTTCCCAAAAATAAGTGTTTCCCTGAAAATAAGACCCTGTCTTATTTTCTTGAACCCTGAAATAAGCGCTTGGCCATATTGCCATGCGCTCAAAAACCCAATTGGGCTTATTATCGGGGGGATTTCTTATTTTGGGGAAAATGGTAGATGATATTATTATTATTATTATTATTATTATTATTATTATTATTATTATTATTATTATTATTATTATTTAATAATAGAACAAATATAGAACAAATGGATAAAAATCCAGTACTGAGAGGAGAGCAACAGACAGCATATGCCATCTTTGAAAAGAACTTGAAGAAATAGTAGACTACCTAGTTAACTGCTGCAAGAAGATCATACCAACTGACTACAAACAACAGCATGACTAAGTAGCAACAATGGTACACTAGAATATCTGCAAGAAATATCACTTGCCTGCAAGCAAGAACTGGTGGGACAACAAGATAGATAAAATTATAGAAAATGGAAAAGCTAAATTGCTGTGGGACTTTAGAATTCAAACAGACACACACCTGCTACATAACATCTGGACTTAACAAGTGTTGATAAAAAAGACAAAAAAAAATTGTATAGTGAATTCTGCAGTACCTGGAGACAGCAGAATAGAAGAGAGAGACCTGGAGAAAATCATATATTACAAAGACCTGCAAATAGAAGTAGAATATCGATGTCAAAAAAAAGCAAAGCTAGAACCAATAATAATAGGCAATTTGGGTGTAATCCAGCGGTGAAATCTAAAATTTGTTACTACCGGTTCTGTGGGCATGGCTTGTTGGGCGGAGGGAGGGGGGTAATATGACTGGGTGGACATGGCCAATTTTTTTTTTTACTTTTAAAATCATTTTTTCTACAACCTCTTCGGTGAAGACGTTGTAAAAAAATGCTTTCAAAAGGCTCTGATGATCCCAGCTGAGTTGCCTGATCGTCAGAGTGTTTTTTAAAAACCCTCTGCTGATCAGGCAACTCAGCTTGGATCATCAGAGCTTGGATCGTCAGAGGCATTTAAATGAAAAAAAACTTTTTTCTTTTAAATGGTTCTGACGATCCCAGCTGAGTTGCCTGATCGGCAAAGGGTTTTTAAAAAACCTTCTGATTATCAGGCAACTCAGCTGGGATCATCAGAGCCATTTAAAAGAAAAAAAGCCTCTGATTGCGCAGCTCAACTGGGCATGTGGGGGCAGGAATTTTTGCTACCCATTCTCCGAACCACCTACCTCCATCACTATCCGGTCCGAACCGGGAGCATTTCACCCCTGGTGTAATCCCAAAACTTCTACAGTAGAGTGTCAGTTGAACACCATCAAAATCACCATTGGCCAATTGCAAAGGACAGTTTTTCTTGGAAGAGCTTACATCCTACGGCAACACCTTTAATACCCTCAAACAATATATACCTATCCCAGGTCCTTGGGAATGACTTAATAAGTGGATAAAAGTACCAAATCCAGTCTATACGTCTGGCTGACTGTGTGACTAACATAATAACTGATTAACTTTACATGCTGCCTGACTCTCGATGACTAGGAGGCTCACAAAAATCAAACAAGGAAATTACTGTACAATAAAAATCAACAAAACATTAAAAATAAAGATAAAAATGGCAATGAAGCGAGGGTCTGGATGAGGCAGGTCTTCATGCATGGCTTTTCTAAACCACAACAAGGTGTGGGCCAGTGGTGGGTTGCTCCCGGTTTTGTCCGGTTCTTGCAAATCGGTAGTAAAACTGGTGGGAGGCTCCGCCCACCTGCCTGGATGTCATAATGGATGATCTGCGCATGTGCAGAAGCACGTGCAAGTGCTCCCGTTGCAAACCGGTAGTAAAGGTAAGTAGAACCCACCCTGGTGTGGGCCATCCGGAGCTCAGGGAGAATGTCATTCCAGAGGATAGGTGCTGATACAGAGAAGGCACACTTCTGAGATCCTTATAGATGACATTGTTTAATTGAACTGAGAGCATGCCTGCAGGGTCTAATTCGGCTGGGCAGGTGTTATGTGAGATAGACATTCCCTCAAGTACCCAGGCCTTATGCCATATATAAGTTTGAGATGTCCCTCAGGTGCTTTTTCAAGAGGCATCCTTGGATGAAGAAGCGAAATGTCTTCAAAGAAAAAACCAGAAAGTCTGGTTGCCTCTTGAAAAAGCACCTTTGGGACAACCATGACATGGATGACTAAGAATTTCCAGAGACATTCAGTTTGAGATATTCAGAGAGTGGCCCTATCTTTGATACAGCCAGTGGTGGGTTGCCCCCGGTTCGCACCGGTTCTATAGAACTGGTAGTAAAACCGGCAGGAGGCTCCGCCCACCAACCCTGACATCATCAAACGCTTCTGCGCATGCGCAGAAGCTTCTGCGCTTGTGTGCGGCCCCACTGCAAACGGGTAGTAAAGTAAGTAGAACCCACCCCTGGATACAGCCTTTTGTAAGCTGTTGTATTTCTAGAAAACAAATATTTATCATTAAGGGGTTTTAAAAAGGAAACAGATTTTTAGAAAAGTCTAACCTTCAACTGTAATAAATCTCTGATAGTAGTAAAAATGTTGCTTTTCCTAGCCAGAAAATCTTTCAAATGATTAAGGTATTTTCAGCTGTTGAATAAACCAGCACCTAAAGTCCTTTTTCATGTTCCTGTTCATTATGTGCTTTTTAAATACTTGTTTTTAAGCTTTTTTTTTTTGTAAAAATACACATGAAGCAAATGTTGTTTAATGCCTTTGATGTTTAAGATATTTTGACAACTAAACTTTTGGTGCATGCTTGCAGATCGCAAATTGTTGTTGCTAACATTCAGCTTGCCTTGGCTCTTCTATTATTATTTACTCTATTTGTTAACCACCTCAAATTTGCAACTCTGTACAACAAAATAAAGTAAACCAGAAATGATATTGAAAGCCTTGATAGTACAGTGGTTTAGTGCACCCTGTTATTAACACAGCTGCCTGCAGTTTCTGCTGGTTCGAATCTCTCCAAGGCTCAAGGTTGACTCAGCCTTCCATCCTTTCTAAGGTAGGTGAAATGAGGACCCAGTTTGTGGGGGCAATAAGCTGACTTTGTATAAAATATACAAAAGAATGAAGGCTATTGCTTAACGCATTGTAAGCCGCCCTGAGTCTCCGGAGAAGGGCGGCATATAAATCAAATTAAAAAAAAAAAAAGAAATTTATCAGTTGTCATTTTTTTTAAGTGGCAATCATAGATGTAATGAAAGTTGCTCACTATTCCATTTCAATCTGACTGCAAAGATGTCACTTTGTATGTTGGCTTTGGAATACCACAGCTTTACACTTATGCATATTGATACAAATGCACATTTAAGTCATTAGGATGGAAGCAAAATCAAGTAAATACCAGGTTAAAGCAATTTTGAACATTAATGGCATGCTAATATTAGAATAAAGGTAGCAGATATTTTTTTAAACCTTTATCTGCACATGTGAAATTGCCCAGAAATTGATAACCATGGAATATCAGCAAAATATATATATATCACTTTTCCTGCAAGGTGCTTATATAGTATGCCCTTACCTATTCATTCCCATAATAAATACTCTGTGGCAGTGGTGAAATCCAAATTTTTTTACTACCGGTTCTGTGGGTGTGGATTGGTGGGTGTGGTGTAGCTTGGTGGGTGTAGCTTGGTGGATATGGCAGGGGAAGGATACTGCAAAATCTCCATTCCCACCCCACTCCAGGGGAAGAATATTGCAAAATCTCCATTTCCACCCCACTCTAGGGCCAGCCAGAGGTAGTATTTGCCGGTTCTCCGAACTACTCAAAATTTCCGCTACCAGTTCTCCGAACTACTCAAGATTTCCACTGCTGGTTCTCCAGAACCTGTCAGAACCTGCTGGATTTCACCCCTGCTCTGTGGGATAGATGGGACTGAGACCGAATGTTGTTTTTAAAGTCACCCATTGAGCTTTTTTGAGACTGAAGGTAGTCTGGATCCTGGAACTGTCTTTTTCTCTATCACTGTGTATTTGTTTTAAAGTCTTGAAAAACACTTTCATTTTCTAGCTAATCAGACTCACTTCTTGCCAGTCAGCAAAGATGAGATTCAAGGAACAAGTGACCTTAACAAGAATGTTGCGGAGTGGGAGGCTTGCAAGACAAGGTTTATGGATGGGGGAAAAAAGTTGAAAGTTGTTGCTCAGACCAGAGACTGCCTACCGATGTTGATGGGGAAATCTGTCCTGTGGCCTCTAGCCAAGGACACCAGTTGAAAAGCTATTTAGACATTCATATCTAACATGTAGCTTTTCCAGACAGATCTTAAAAGCTCCTGTGAGATTCTGGGAGTTTTCTCATACTTTCTACAAACTTTCTCTACATCAAAGGAAAAAATGTGAGATACTAGGTTCCTTATCACTTTGTAGGATAAAAATACATTCCCAGTCTTGAGACAAATAGGAGTAAGACCAGGTCAAGGTTACAAAGAGCTTGCAAGTTTCCAATTTGGCATCTTTCTTCTATTTTTTTCCTGATAAAATCAAGAGTTATTCCATAATGTGTAACTGCCACAAATCCATTCTGTTCAGGCTTTATTGATGGGTAAATTCAATTCTGGGTAAGTGGAAACACATGGCTATAGGAAATGTGTGAATTTCTGGATAAACAAAAGACACTCATATAAAAATGTATTGAACTATAGCATGACAATAATTATACTAGTAAATTGCACATGAAGTGTTTTAAAAATATTATTGTTTGGTAAAATATAGTGTGTGAAATAAGAAAAAAAGGGGTCTATTTCATTTAACATCTTGTTTCTATAATGGTCAGCCAGAGGAAAACTGATAAGCAATTACACTCTCCTTTTCAAATTCACTTGCAAATCAGAATTGAGAACCCATTCTGGTAATACAAATCCATCACGACAAATAATGATTCATATTATTCACCTTATGCTTCATTTCTCACTTTATCCCCTTTTAAAGCCCTGGATGCTATTCGTGAAAAAACAACTTCAACATTCGCAAACTGGTGCCAGTGAACTGAAGCACTGAATTAACTGCTGCTCTCTTGGCACAACCATTTGGGTACATGGTGACCCGATGAAACTTGGACACAACGTGTGTCATATGTTAATAGTTGTGAGAATTTGATGGATTTGTTATTTGATATGATAAGCTACTTTCAGCTAAAATTTGAATCCTGCATATCAGTAGATGCATGTGACCAGTTTCATAAGAGCTGAATTGGGTCAATATTTTAGGTAATGTTTTATAAATATGAGAATATACAGGCAAATAGAGCAGGGGTGAAATCCAGCAGGTTCTGACAGGTTCTGGAGAACCGGTAGCGGAAATTTTGAGTAGTTCAGAGAACTGGCAAATACCACCTCTGGCTGGCCCCAGAGTAGGGTGGGAATGGAGATTTTGCAATATCCTTCCCCCAGGAGTGGGGAGGGAATGGAGATTTTGCAGTATCCTTCCCCTACCACGCCCACCAAGCCACACCACACCCACCAAGCCACGCCCACAGAACCAGTAGTAACAAAATTTGAATTTCACCACTGAAATAGAGGTTTCACAATACAACTCATTCACCCCAAACAGTATGCTTTTGACAGCAATTAAAGACGGCAATTTGTTTAGAGTCCCTGTTTAAGATATGGCACAATGATACTATCTAATGTTAGATGAGCTGTAGTTAAAAGTATTGATTCTTGTTAGGTGGTAGTCAACTTTCTAAAGTTTGTGAAAGCTTATGTTGTTAGTTGAGAATTATTTAGTACATATTTAGAAGAACAAGGAAATGTTCCTGGGCACAGATGCTATTGTAATCTACAATTGTGGTCACGGTTTTGTTAGGCAAATTCAAGATAGTAAAATCAAACATCAATCAAACATCAAAACATCAGCATATGCAAAAGACAACTCATATAATTCCACTTTTATTCATCTTTCATCAAAAGATGAAGTTAGTTCATATCAGTACTTGAGGGTCATCCTCTGTTAGTCATTGAACTGTTCGGGTCGTCAGGATGATAAATTGATAGTTTTCTTGCTCAGTTTTATCCAATTCTTCCCTAACAAAGACTTTCTTCATTTCTTTTTCTCTTCCTTTCCAGGCATTTGTAATATGACATACAAATACTTATGCGCACCCAGTTATTTAAACCAATCTTCTCCAATTTAGTAAAGGGCCTGCATATCTGAGGAATCGATTGTCTTCAATCATTTCTGTACACCAAGCATATTCCAGCAGAGTAGGTAAGCTTTAGATTCCCTGTATTAAATGTTGTCACCTTGTGGGTCCCAAGGAAATGTGCCTTTTCTGTTTTGGCTCCCACTCTCTGGAACAGTATTTCCCCAGAGATAAGGACTCTGCTCTTTCTCCTGGGGTTACGGAAGCTCTTTAAACCTGGCTTTGATCCCAGGCCTGTTGCTGAGTTATTTTTTGTTTGTTTGTTTAGGGTCCCTGTTTTGTTTGATTTGTGTCATTTACAAATTGTTTTAATCTGGTTGTATGTGAGATTTTAGGTTTTATCTGAATTTATGAATCTGAATATATGGATGGGGGATGGTTTATATGCCACTCAGAGTACATTAGCCTTGAATGGATATAATAAATTTAAATAATAAATAAATAAGCAAACTCAGTATCTTCTAGTCTATGAAAGTGCCACATTGGTATTCACACGATTATTCCTAGAATTTCAAAACAGTAGTGTTTATACAACTCTGAAATTTTATCCCAATGAGAAAATAAATACATATTTTTAAAATTATATTTATTAATGGATCTAGTTGGAAGGGTCTAGGATGGGAAAGACTGATTTAGGCCTTTCATTGGTATTAGTCCTTCTTTTCCTAATGTTTTCTAGACTGGGCATTAATTGCTTGCCATATTGAGACCAGTTTTAGAAGCTATTCTTGGAAAGTGACATTTAAATAAATCAATGATCATGTGGACATTAAAAGCTTGCAGGAGATGTATAGCATGCAGGACTCTGATGTGAGGACTTTAAAAGAAGGTTGACACTGTACAGTTAGAATGATGGGAGTGTACAAGAAGCAGCCCAGAGACACTTGCAATAATCTGATTTAAACATTTCCAGTTGGGGCCTATCTGATGTATTAGATTACAATTTACAGAATTTCTAGCCAATGAACTTCTCTCAACTAAAAAGTCTGAGAATTGCTCCAATACGTTTAGAAAGCATCAGGTTGGGAAACTTTAATATAGTTAAAGAAATAGAGGCTTCACAAAGATAATCATAAAATAAATAAACTAGCCAAACAATCTCAAAAAGAAAGATTGAAAGGAAAAGGTAGATGAAAGAAAAACTGTAACAGAAAACAAAATATGATGGCTAAAGCTTTTGTATCTATCTGTCTAGTGCAAACTTGCTCAGTTATGGGCTTCTTGAGATACTCAATTAGAAGTGTAGCAAATGTATCTTTCTCAGCAGTTATGTGAAATCTAGGTGCCTTTTATTTTTCTGAACTTCACACTGCAATGTATGAATAATTTGTTTTCTATCTACTAGCACAATTGTTAAATAGAATTTGCTAAAAAGACTACTGAAAAGACCTCCAGTGTGATTTAGTGATGTTATTTCTTTCCCCTCTCTCTACCTGATTTAACTGATGTTACACCCAACATTAATTAATCAATCGATCAATTAACTATAGATGTATATAGTTGGCCATTTTGCTCCACATGAATGAACTGAAGGGGCAGTTAACAAAAACTGAAAATAGTACAAAATTTATTTATTCATTTCTTAAATTTCATCTCTCCTATAAGGTGTCTCTCAGCAGCTATACAAGAAACTACAACAGCAACAAACATAACACGGGCCAAGGAAACCATGCAGCATCAAAATAATATGGGGTCAACTACTTTTCTTACCTGTGTCAGGCTAGCAGGGTCAGGCTAGGCGGTATGGTATTCTACAAGCACCGTGACAGGCAAGGCCTATTCTTCCGAATCCTGCAAGATGACATTTTCTAATCAATGGCACCCTAAGCAAGCACCTACTACTAAATCTAATCAGATGAGTAAAAACAAATGCGTAAAGGGCTGAAAAACTGAAGAAGTTCTCTATAGCAAAGAAAAAAAATGCAGAAAATCCATGTGTCCATTTCATATCTGAATGACAAAAGCTTAGCAGTTTCTCCCACATGGAATTTCAGATGTGTTGAACTTCTGGCCGAGCAACCACTGTCCTTATTTCTCTCTGTTATACTGTTTTGTAAGGATGGGCAGCAGTTTGGATTCAGTCTCTAAAAAGTGCTTTTAAATGTAGAGGAGCACAAACATAATACCTCTCTGCAGTCCCTTAAAGCAGCCACCCCTTTTCCCTCAGATTGCATGGCTGGACAGTCAGAATAGGAGGTGGTCCTCAAAGCTTTCCCCTTTTGTCCCATTAAATAATGTATTCTTGGCCTTGGTGCCTGACGGATTCCCTTGACTTTTTCGTGTATAAATTTAAAAAATAAAGTAGTTTATTAGTTTAGCATTCTTCAAAGTCTGATGTTAATTTCTAAATAACCTTTCTGGCTAAAAAAATATTTCTAGCTTCTTGCTCATGAATCTTCTTTTAAAAAATAAAAAAAAAAATATGGCTGGCTGCAGCCCGGTGTTTGAAAAGCTCAATCTGAGCAGAAAACAAGAAATATGGAAGATGTAAGGAACCGGTCAGTTCTAGAGGAGATCAACCCTGACTGTTCTTTAAAAGGTCTGATCCTGAAGATGAAACTCAAATACTTTGGCCACCTAATGAGAAGGAAGGACTCACTGGAGAAGAGCCTAATGCTGGGAAAGATTGAGGGCAAAAGAAAAAGGGGATGACAGAGAATGAGGTGGCTGGATGGAGTCACTGAAGCAGTAGGTGTGAGCTTAAATGGACTCCAAAGGATGGTAGAGGACAGGAAGACCTGGAGAAACGTTGTCCATGGGGTTGTGATGGGTTGGACAAGACTTCGGAACTAAGAACAAAAAGGAACATCCTGGAGAATTAAGTGGGTGGCATCCTTACAGGGTTGTTTTGGATAAGTGGAGGATTTTTGGAAGCTGCTTATGTACCATGGCAGCCAGTTTCTGAATATGTGAGCTTTCCCATAGAAGCTGCTTTATGAGAGTACAATCATCCTTTCCTCCAAATTCCAAATATATTCACTGGCTTCAAAGTTTGAGAAAGATCTAGCCACTACATCACGCTAGTCTTCAAGAGAAAAGAAAATAGAAGATGTGCTTTGCCTTCTTGTGTACATTGTCTGATATAAGGGTTTCTTATATTTATTTATGGTTTCATCAGATAATTGTTTGTTGTGTTAGACAAACATAATATTTGTTATATTAAACCCAAGCTTTTAAAGCTGTCCTGATTTAACAACTGGCCTCCAGTCTGGTTTGTCACTAGCAGTGGTCGTGACAGCTGTACAGGGAATAGAAGCTAAGCATAGATTGTAATCATCTATGATGTGGGAATATTGGCATCTGGCTTGTATATCAATCTGTGGGAATACAAGGGACCTTGTAAGCAAGTGGACAGTTCAACAGCTGGAGATATGGCAGGGGGGATGGCTTTAGCTCAGCAAACTGTAGCATTTTAGCACATGGTTTGCATCTGGCATGATTTTTTTCCTCTAAAGTATTGAGTTACACCAAACTCCCTCCCCCTCACACTAGGAAACACTTTGCACATCCGTTCAGACTCTTTTGCATGGATACAGAGAGTTTGCTTTGCTACAAATAAGCACACAGATTCTGCAGGGTTGTTGTTTGGGCTGGACAAAAGGATGCAGGGAACTCAAAGGGTCTATACGAATGTCGAAAAAGTGACAGGTTTGGTGTTCAAGGGTAAATCTGCACTTTTTTTAAAAAAACCGCCTTTATAGTGCACTACTATTGCCATTTGCCCAGATGTGACTCTAAAACAAAAGATACCATAAAACCATTTTGCTTACTAATGGAAAATAAATTGAAAACTATAACCTAGACTAGGGAAGTATTGTTTCACTGAGATTTTTTTAAAAAATCAGGGACTAATGCTAGAAATTGCTGTTATCTTCACCAATTATATATAGATGGAATTTTAGAATGGATAATGTAATTGTAGAGTGCTATTGAAACAAAAGATTAAATATTACTGCCAGACATACAGGCCCTGTGAATGAGACAACCAGAGTAGATTTGACCCACTAGCTTCTATAAGATTGAAATTGTGTTTAAAGTTACTAATGTAAAATTAATCATGGCTATTTAATAAGAGCTATCCACTCTCTTATCCTAGTCTACCATCACCATAGACGGGCTTACAGCAAAATTTCCCAATGCAGTAAAATCACCAGTGTTCATTTCTGAGGCAAAGTAACTCCAAAAGTGTGTGTGTGTGTGTGTGTGTGTATATGTATCACACACACACACCAACACACAGACTTTCCATTTTCACAGGACCCAAATGTTTTGTAGGCTCTAGCCTTGTGTGTGTGTGTGTTTATGTGTGTGTGTGTTCGCCTGATGACTTCCTAGTCTTTGCATCCTGAAGTTTGCTTGACAAAATTTTCTGAGTGGTTTGCCATTGCCTTTTTCCTAGGAGAGTGACTGGACCAAGGTTACCTAGCCATCTTTTATGCCTAAGGAAGGACTAGAATTCACAGACCTCGGGTTTCTATCCCAATGGAGCCTGCAGACAAGGCACTGCAATTTAACACCAGCTGTCTGCAATTAAAGTAAGTTCGAATCTTGCCAGGCTCAAGGTTGACTCAGCCTTCCATCCTTTCTAAGGTAGGTAAATTGAGGACCCAGTTTGTGGGGGCAATAAGCTGACTTTGTATAAAATATACAAAAGTATGAAGGCTATTGCTTAACGCACTGTAAGCCGCCCTGAGTCTCCGGAGAAGGGTGGCATATAAATCAAATTAAAAAAAAAATGTCTTAACCACTAACTCCAACCTGAATCTCTCTAGACTATTGTACCTAATCGATAATACCAACACTGAGGGTAGAAAAACAGAAGGATAGGATAATTCAGGATGAGATTTTAAAATATAGCATTGATAAAGTTCTTCCTGTATGATACTGCCCTTAATGACAGTTTTTTTTGTTGGATGTTCAATCCTTGGCCTGGGCAGTTTGAGGCTGAGAAGAATTTTGCATCTCTCTGAAATGACCTTCATAGAACACCTTCATTTGTCTTGATATAAACTTAGTTTGACACTTAATATAAATTCCTGAATGGCGCCAATGACTGATCAATGCCCTGGTGAAGATAAATGGGGTATATCAAAGTTGGAGAATAGGAATGAGGCATAAGCAAAGTCTGTCTCAACATGAAAGAAAGGCCCCTCTCTCCCTCTCCTTTTCCCCCCTCCCCCTCCTTCCTGCCCCCATTGTCATAAACCTGGCACAAGTGTTCTCATTCAGTAAACTTGGTTCCAAGTACAACCAACTTTGGGAAAGATAGGTATATAACAGGAAAGAGAAGTGAAACAATTATTTCATGCAGTGAAAACGGAGAACTCCAACAAACCAAAATATGGGGGGGGGGCATTTATTCAAGGGTTTAATTTCATGTTATTTAGAACACAGGCAAGTATTCATGCTATATTTCTTTACTGACTGTTGTGATGTTCTTTTTCCGTAATCCCAATTCTGACCCTTGTTGTTTTTTTAAAAAAATAAAATAAAATTCTTCAAGGAATACAGTATTTGCTTTGATTTCCAACTATTTGATTGCTTATTTTGGCCAATGTTGCCTTCTTTCCAGAAATATAGGGAATTAGAAGACTTGAATTTCTGACTACTGTACCTGATTTGGTGGTTTTAATTCAGGTCTTCTCCACCTTCCTTAAAAGCGGGGGGCCTTTCTTGAATTCACATGCTCTGATTGGAAAATGTAATTCATTCAATATTTATTGAATGAATACTACAGCTATGTCAAGAGTTAAGAATATGGTATGATTAAAAACTGAGGGTTTGAAATTTTGCTTTGTAATAATCACTATAATGACTGAAAAACGAGGGCTGTTATGTAAGGTACGCAGGTGAATGTGCCATTTTAGGTTTCCAGAATGATGATGACATGGGAGCAATTTTTCTTGATGGCTTAATGACTTCAGCAAATATAAAAACTGATATGGTGTTCTCCCTGCCCTCCTTCAGCATACAAATGAGTTCTATGTCTCCCATTCATTACTCAGTACAGAGAGCAACTCAGGAATTCTTTTTCTGGAGACAGTAGGATAGAAGAGAAACAACTGAAGAAAATCATGAAATATAAAGACCTGCAAAAAGAAGTAGAACTACTGTGGCAAAAGAAAGCAAAGATAATACCAATACCAACAGGGACTCAGGTACAACCGCAGACCAACTGGAGCACCAAAAATCACTGCCCGTCAATTGCAAAAAAGGCAGTTTTACTTCAACAGCTTACATCCTGCAACAATGCCTTTAATATTATACAACAATATCTACCTATCGCGAGTCCTTGGGAAGGAGGTGAGAGGTGGACAAAACTGCCAAATCCAGTCTCAACATCTTGCTGACTGCGCGACCAACCATAACAACATCCGCAAATTTTGAGGAATGTTTTGTAAAAGAGAAAGTTACTTTTGCAGCAGTGTGAAATGCAGAGATGGCTAAATTTTATTTCAGTGAGCAATCTGTGTTGATATGCTGGATGAATTCATTCACTTTCCAGCATTTGGTCTTTTGGCATAGTGGCAGTAGAATAGGACTGGGTAGAGGGACCAAAATGAAAGACTGCCCTGGCAGGATGTATTCTGCTACAATGGGCAAGTCAGTTGCCTTTATATTGTTTCCTTTGCAGGAAGGAGAAATTGGTTTATTAGAGGGCTTGATGCCAAGGGATCAGGGCAAGGCAGATCAATAGCTAACCATTGATTAGCTGACTAATTGCTCACTCCCTGATTGCCCTGGAAGCACATATTCTGGAACACCTGCATTACAAGTGCACAAAAATACCTGAAACTAAGCTCATAGAAATGTCAATTCTGAAAGGGAAAAAAAAAACCTGTTGTTGATCTGGAAGGTGTGGAGGAACCTTTAACTTTGTGGCAAGCAATTACACATTAACAGAGTGGCATACAAAGGAAGATACGTATTATTGCATATGAGGCAGTCTTAAATTTAAACTACAGAAGATCAGTCCATCACATCCTGTTGATATGAACACAAGGGCAGTCTCCTCTCCATTTAGCAATACGGGTAGTCCTTGACTTACAACAGTTCACTTAGTGAACCACTCAAAGTTACAACGACCCTGCAAAAAGTGATTTATGACCATCTTTCACACTTACAACCATTGCAGCATCCCTATGGTCACATGCTCAAATTTCAGATGCTTGGTGACTGACTGAGTCATATGAATGATGGTTCTCAGGATCATGTGATCCCCTTTTGTGACCTTCTGAAAGTAAAGTCAATGGGGAAACCAGCCTCACTTAACAACCGTGTGACTAATTTACCTACCGCAGTGATTCACTTGAACAACTGTGGCAAGAAAAGTCATAAAATGGGGCAAAACTCACTTAACAAATGTTTCACTTAACAACAGAAATTTTGGGCTCAGTCGTGATCGTAAGTCGAGGACTAACTATATACATTTTAAAAAGTGAAGGTACCATTCAAGCTTAATTTCTGGGACCCGCCTGAATGTGACTATATAACTTTCTTGGAAATAATATGGAGATCTGGTAGAAATTGCATGAAAAATTGAGCACTTTACAAGTAAGGGAGAATTTCAGATCAAAGCACAAAACCCTGGAGATGTCATGGAGTAAATACATGAAGCCATATTTAGTTCTCAAAGGACAAAAAAGCAGAACGGTGAGAGGCGAGGATGATCAGAAGGGAGGAAGTTTGGCTATCTGACCTCATTTTCATGGTAATGGCTTTGAGGCAGGTGTGAAATCTAGCAGGTTCTGACAGGTTCTGGAGAACCGGTAGCAGAAATTTTGAGTAGTTCAGAGAACTGACAAATACCACCTCTGGCTGGTCCCAGAGTGGGGTGGGAATTTGCAGTATCCTTCCACCAGGAGTGGGGAGGGAATGGAGATTCTGCAGTATCCTTCCCCTGCCATTCCCACAGAACCGGTAGTAAAAAGAAAATTAATTTCACCACTGCTTTGTGGTGTAATAGGTTTAATACCTTGAAGCTATCCTTGGATGGTAATGAAATAAAAGGAAAATGCTACTTTAATATTAGTGCAGCCAAGGGTGGGTGGTTTTGGAAAGCAATATAAATGTAATAAATAAATAAATAAAACCAATTTCATTCATGGGCAGCCGAAGAGATGGAGGCAATACTATGGGAACAAGGAAAACCACTGATGATTTTAACCAGGGAGTGATTGTGCTGTGCTAAGATGCAAGTGGAAACTTAGTCAGAGCCTAAACATGTTGTGTGCACTATGTGTGTTATGGTTCAGGAGATCTTATGAACCCAGAAAATCTGCTTACTTAAGAAATCCTGGATAACTTAATCATGAGGAAACATGTTATAGGAATACAGTCTTTTTTAGCCTCAGAATTCTTCTTTTTCTTATCCATCAGTATCCCTGCTTGATAATT